GTCAATACAGTTGAGAGTGATTATGTCATAAGAGGCTTCACCACCAGCAAGAAAGACTTAATATTCTAGCCAAGAATAAATAATTTTCAACTTTTCAAAGTGTTAAATTAGAAAAGTGTGAACACTGTTTGGTTGGTAAACAAAATAAAGTTTCCTTTAAGTCTAATTATCCATCGAGAAAGACAGGGATGCTTGAATTGGTGGACTCTGATTTATGTGGTCCAATGAAGACAATGACATTAGGTTGTCCACTTTACTTTGTCATTTTTATTGATGACTGTTCGAGAAAACTCTGGGTCTATGTCATGAAGACTAAACACCAAGTGTTAGGTGTCTTCAAGCAGTTTTAGGCTTCAGTTGAAAGGAAAATTGGAAAGAAATTGAAAAGTATTCGTAATAATGATGATAATGTTGTGGACCATTTGATGAATACTGTGAGCATCAAGGTATTAGACACCAGAAGACTCCTCAGCTTAATGGTTTGGTTGAGAGGATGAAAAAAACCTTGATGGGAAGAGTTAGATATTTGCTTTATGAAGCAAAGTTTCTGAAGTCATTTTGGGATGATGCTTTATTGACACTGCACATGTTATTAATCTATCTCATATGGTTTCTTTGCAAAGTGATGTGTCAAATTGAGTTTGGTATGGAAAGAATGTCTTCTATGACCATTTGAGAGTATTTGGTTTCAAAGCTTTTGTATATGTTCCAAAAGAAGAAAGGTTAAAGTTACCAAGACAAGGCAGTGCGTCTTCATTGGATATGTCCTTGATGAATTTGGTTATAGCCTATATGATTCAATTGAGAAGAAACTCTTGAGAAGCCGTAATATTATTTTTATGGAGAATCACATAATTGATGATATTGACAAAGTGGCAAACCTAGAATTTTTAAATTTTGATGACATAGTTCATTTAGATGAAGTTCCTCACACAAGTATCCATGATGTTGTTGGGCTTGATAATCATGGTCACGCTCAATATAATGTATCAAATCAACATGTTGATGTTAATAATAATAATTATGTTGTTATTGATGATCCTCATTCTCTTAAAGTTGTGAACGAATCAATCATTCCGCTTAGAAGGTCCACAAGATAGTGAGTCCTTCCTTTCGTTATTCATCCAAAGAGTATGTGTTACTCACTGACAGAGGAGAACCTAGATGTTATAAGGAGTCCATGGAAGATGCACAAAGATCAATGGATTGAATCCATGCAAGATGAGATGAAGTCTCTGCATGAGAATCACACTTATGAGTTGGTAAAATTGACCAAGGTCGTGAGAGCTTTGAACAAAGCGAGTGTTCAAAGTTAAAGTTGAAGATACATCTTGAAGCCCAGATAGAAAGCTATTGGTCGTTAAGGGACTTGGTCAAATAAAGAATATTGACTTTGACAAAATATTTTCTTTTGTTGTGAAATTTTTTTCGATTCGTATGATTATAGGTTTGGATGCTAGTCTTAATTTAGAGATTAAACAAATGGATGTAAAAAAGATTTTCCTTCACAGTGACCTTGAAGAAGAAGTTTATATGGTACAACATAAGGGCATTAAAGTATATGGTAAAGAAAATTTTGTATGCAAATTCAGAAAGATTCTCTATGGCTTAAAACAAGCTCGTAGACAATGGAACAAGAAGTTTGAATGTGTTATGGGGGGGGGGGGAGAGCCTATAAGAAGACTTCAAATACAAAAATTTTGTGACAATGATTTTATTATCCTCTTGCTCTATGTGGATGATATGTTGATTGTGGGCAAGAATACTTCCAAAATTGACAAGTTGAAGAAGGAGTTGTGTAAGTCTTCTGCTATGAAAGACTAGGGCCATGTCAAGAAAATTTTGGGAATGAAAATTACTCGTCTGAGAGATAAAAGAAAGATTTATTTATCATAAAAGAATTACATTGAAAGTGTACTAGAGTACTTGAATATGAAAAGTGTTAAGCCTGTTAGTACACCTCTTTCTGGTCATATGAAGTTGAGAAATACCATGTTTCCTACAGTTTGGGAAGAAAAAGAAAGTAAGGCCAAAGTTTCATATTCCTCATTCTTTGGAAGTCTAATGTATGCAATGATATGCCCTAGACCTGATTTTACTCACACAGTTGGTGTTGTCAGTAGATTTCTCGATAATTTCGAAAAAGAGCATCGAAAAGCTTTGAAGTGGATACTCAGGTGACCTTGATAACAGAAGATCCACTACTGGATATTTTTTTACTTTTTCGGTAGGGTTGTATCATGGCAGTCGAAGTTGCAAAAGTGTGTTGCACTATCTACAACTGAATCTGAGTCTATTGAGGCTACTAAATCTGGTAAGGAGATTATATTGATAAATCAATTTGTTCAAGAACTTGGATTACAACAGATGAAGTATGTTGTCTATTGTGACAGTCAGAGTGCAATAGATTTGAGCAAGAACTCCATAGATCATGCAAGAACAAAATACACTGACGTCACATATCATTGGATTCGTGATGAAGTGGAGAGTGGATTACTTTATGTCAAAAATATCTGTACAAATGAAAATCCCCTAGATGTTCTGATCAACACGATACCGAAAGATAAATTTGAGTTATGCAAAGAACTTCTGGGTATTAACCGTCTCTAAAGAAAATGAAGATGCCTTCTTTTTGTGAATGGATCTGGAGGTGGAGATGTGTAGGGTCCATACCCATAACAGATAAATATAAGGAAAGTTGAAATGCAGGAAAGATTGAAATGCTTGTTACTTATTGTTAAAGTCAGCAAATGTTGCAACAAATTAACCAAAGCTCACTATTTCTTTTTCAATTAAAATCTACCAAGAAGTCTGCATAGTTGCCAAGGTTGATATAATTTTTTTAGGGGAACTTTCACATATAACCACTTAAAAACAGTACTTTACTCTCCATAGCTATAGTTTGATAATTATAATTTGTAGCAACATGTTATATGGAGGAGAGAGGCGATCAAGACTGGGAGAGAAAGGAGAGAGGTGAGAGAGAAGGGGAGAAAAGAGTGGGAGAAAAGTGAATTGTATAAATATATCAGTTAGATAATTGTATATTATACATATGTATTTGAGAGGGAGGAGAGAGGAGAGAGAGACTGGGAGATGAGGGAGAGAGGCGAGTGTGACTGGGAGAGGGAGGAGAGAGGCGAATGCTAAAGAGGTGAATTGTATACGTATATAATTTTATATTATACATATGCACTTGTATGTATGGCAAAGGAGATTGGGAGACGGAGGAGAGAGGCAAGAGAGAGAGGGCAGAGAGTCAGAGAGAGGTGAATTATATATGTATATATTAAATAATTGTATATTTCATATGTATGTATATTTTGGCGAATTATACATATACAAACATGACTAATTATACAAACTCGAAGTCAACCCACGTAATTAATGTATAATGTTAGTCGCGAGGGTTAATTATAGCAAACTATAGTTATGATGAGTAATTAAATATTATAAGTTTGTTTTATTGTGAAATTTTTCTTTTTTTAATGTTGTCAATGGTGACATCATTAGAAGTAGATTTCTCCTTTAAATAGAGAGTCTTTACTCATTTGTACATACACCAAGATAGAGAGAAAAAGATTGAGAGCAAAGTGCAGTATTTCATAGACTATACAAGAAAAATAGTCTCTGAAGAAAAATAGAGTGTGAGTGATATTTTTGTAAGGTGGAAATCAAAAGAGTGTTATTCCTTTTGAGTGTGTTGTAGTCACTTTGATATTATATTCGTGACTACACAGTGTGAAATTCTTTAAAAAATAGTGATATCAATTGTTTCTCTTGGCCCATGGTATTTTCCTTATTTAAAAGGGTTTTCACGTAAAATTCTTGATGTCATTATTTTTTCATTTTATTTTCATTATTTTGACCATATATATTTTTGTGTTAGTCCGCATTTTTCCCAACACTTCCATGATAATTTTCGCATTGTACGATATCCTCGCCTTCACGACATATTGAAAACACATAGTTTAACTTTTTTTAAGGTAATATCATTTAGCATGTTCGAACGAAACATTCCAATCTAAAATGCTTAGAAGTAATATTTTAATATTATCTGTGCACGCGCGTGTATGTATACTAGTTATTTTTTTTTACAAAATGGAAGTTGTTTTTAATTATTTTTTAATCCACATGTTATCATCCATATGAAATTAATATTTTTTTGAAAAAAAATAACATGGATACACACTTAAGATATCATAATCTCTGAAATTTTGTATCATTTAAAAAAAAATTAAAAAATCCCTTTTCTCCTTTGTTGAAACAACAGTAGCTAAATAGCTTGAAGATGTGTTGAAAAACAAGTTATGTAGTAAATGTGTGGATTTTATTTTGTTTTTTGAGGTCCATCATAAGAAAAAAGCCAGGTCTTTTTCAATTCGATAGCTTTTATTTTACTGCAAAGACAAAATGGGAAATTGAATAAAAAATAGAATGGAAAAACTATCATTAAGTTGTAAATATGTTGTGTTGCCCTTTAAGGCAAAACCCATTAGTAAAGGTGCACACACCTTAACACCTACACTTAAGCTCCAATTAAGCGAGGCGAAGTACACAAGCTGGGCTTAAGAGTTCTGTAGGTGAGCCTTAATGTCACGGCCCATTAGTTATGTCTTGTGAAATGAAATTTCAGCTTCTTAGGTTATATACTTGGACCAAAAACAACGACAACAACAACGTACACAATGAGGTTTGAAGAGGGTTGGATGCACACAGACTTAAATAAAGACCAAGGAAGAATGCTATCCCTTATATAAGTCTAATAATGGACTCGAATGCAAGTACACTAATATAACGTTTTTCATCAGAGAGACGTGTTAAAACATTCTTCAACTTGGCGCGATATTATTAGTTTCCTTCCTGTATTATTGACAGCTTTAAAAGCATCCCTTTGCCGCAGGAAAGTGTCAAGGGAATAATCTCTTATGACTACTCACAAATTGAGTAGATGAACATAACTTTTTTCATATCTCTAACGTGCATGTAAAAATGAAATCTCTTGTAAAACGAACATAAAACTAAAATAAATTTGTAAAGAATTACAAACCAAATCTCCCGAAAGTCTTCCTGTGGTTTTAGCTAAATTAGAAAAATCATAATAAAACCTAAGGCAAGAATGGGAAAAGTCCTCAGAATACAATAAGAGAAAATCACAGTTTGATTTTTATTGCTGTTTTGAGGAATTAATTTATAAGACAAACTTCCAAATTATTCCAAACAAATAGAAATTAAACTCTATAATAAGTTGAAGGGGAGTAATTGTAAGGATCACCAAAAACTGCAACATTGCCTGGCCTTGAAAATACAATCTACAAACATAAAAAAAACATTGTTTTAAATGAATTAGTTCATCAGAGCAGATCAAGAGGTATGAGAGGAGGTCAAAGATTTATCAACATATGTATATACCTGATAATCTCCTATTGTGCACGTTTTGAATCCAGCAGCACAATAGTCAAAGTAGTACTCCCATGTCCTGATGAACTTGTCATCGAATCCCAAAGAACGAATTTGGCTAGTGACAGTACAGTTAACAATGTTCAAGTATCTAGAAATGATTCATGAAAGAAACAGTTTTAACTCGTGGATCCACTATTTAGGTACAGTTACCTTTTGTTTTTCAGGAAGTTTTCTCGCCAACATCTCAGTGTCTGGTAGTAATGAATTCCTATCTCCTCCAGGTGCTCGACACTGCATTCATATCATTCGATAATGATTTTAAAAGAAATGGTTTTGAAAGTGTGACAAGAGCGCTAGCTAGTGCAAAATCTCAAAATCAACTCTTTGTTACCATAGTCTCGATGCAGCAGCCATGGCTGATGTTACTCGACTTAGTGCGGGCACGCATCCACCTGGAAATATATACTCTTTCATGAAGTCTGAGCTCTGCCTGTATTCTTCATACCTCTCGTCTGGTATCGAAATGAACTAAGGAAAGACAACACATTTTGTGAAAAGTGATTAAAATTGAAGGAAAAAAGTTGAAATGTGTCGAGGGGTCACTTCAATTCATTAAGTACCTGCAGGACTAGAAGTCCATATTCTGCCAATGCAGACTCACAGCAAGTAAAGAATTCCCCTATGAAATCATGACCAACATGTTCTAACATACCGCTGAAAATGATAAATAATTAGTACGATTGTAACAATGGGTCGACTTGTAATGTGTTATACAATATGTCCAGATGTAGATGGATAAGAGCTCACCATGATATAATCCTATCATACTTGTCCTTATTTGGGATTTGGCGATAGTCACATAGGAGAAATGTTATTTGATCCTGTGAAAAAGTTTCATCGAATTAAAATGTTAATAGATAATGCTTAAGCGTATAGTGTTCTCCTGTTAATCTTACAAGTACAAATATGTTGAAAAAAACATATCAGTTAATTTGTTTGCAACTTCTCTGGCCTGATTCGAACGTGGAAACAACTGTAAGGCAAGACTGCGTAAAATAGACACTTGTGTTCTGGCCCTTCCCTGAACCCCTTTTCTGGCCCAGATTATCGATGAAGCTTTTTATGGAGCTATTGAAGTTTGGGAAGCAAGAAAATGAAAAAAAGGTGTAGTTCATGAAGTCTGTTAGTTCCTTCTTGGTTATGTTGTTCATAGATGAAAATCCACATCAAATGTTCTCAAAATAGGCATCATCAAGAATGATATGTTAGTCATCTAGACATACAAGAATGAAATTCCAAACTTGGAAAATTTTGAGCTTCTATAGACACTGACAAGCACTAAGTACTAACTCCGACTATGTGAGCTTTGCTCATATTGCCGGCCCAAGCTCAGATAAAGGAGGAGACTGCGGTAGGTTGGAAGCCAACATAAAGTATGGCAATTCGTGATGATAGACGATGTATGTACTATACCTGAAGGCCTGCTTGCTCAACTCTCAACTGTGCATACTCTAGTTGCTGCTCTGAGAGAGTTATTCCAGTATATTTACATCCTGTTTGCTTGACAACTTCCATAGCCAAACTTCCCCAACCAAATCCAATCTCTAATATATGATGTTCTGCGCTAATCTTTGCCTAAACAGAATAGATGCAAAATCAAATTATGCCTGAAGTTTGTGTAGAAATGGTAGGGATTCTTAGTTGATAGCTTACCTTACTAATGAGACGACGAATCTTTCTCAGTTGTGCATCTTTTAGGTCTTCATCCTCACTCTAGAAAATATAAGAAACTAGATCACTGCGGAATGAGATTAGAGGAAAGGTAGTCTAGCAAATATCTAAATTTGAAAGCTAACCTTGAATATTGCACATGAATATGTCATTGTCTCATCCAGAAAGAGTGAGAAGAGTTCATTACTCTGAAAACAAATATGCGCAGGTTTAAGAATTTCATTTCACTAGTTATCTTTGACATCCCCTACATGCGCATAGCTCATAAATAGACACCTTAATTTGGCCTCAACTGATAACTTAACACTACAACTTTGAGAATGCACCTCTAGAAACCTCAAGTCGTCTCCATTGTATCAGTTGAACAGTCCAACTTACAAAATGATCATCTAGACACCTCCAAAAATTTATCTGCCACATCGGTGTCAGGTGTCCACGCACCACACTGGGGACAAGTTAAGGTGTCTAGATGTGCATTCTCAAAGTTTGAGTGCTTATTGCCAGCTTGGTCATCAAGTTAAAGTGTCTATCAATGTACTATGCCTTTTTTATAATCGAGAAATCCCCTAGGACCGATGTCAGACTTTTATCTGCAGCAGGACTAACCCACACATCATGAGTTGTGCTCTTTCCACTAGACCAAAGCCCCGGGGCTTGACATCCCCTACATACTTTGGGTCATGATATAATATGCAAGTCAATTACCAGGTCATAATGGCGAGAAATATTCCGACGAGCCTGAGTCAGAGTGTTATGATTCGAGACGTGTTGAATGAAATATTTTGCAGATGACAGTGCTGCTGTAAAAATCAATGGCATCCACCAACCTCTAGAGCCATGCAAAATGAGAATACCTTTAACATGAGAATAACAGATGTTTATATTTATTTATTTATTTATTTCAGATCAGTAACTATTACCTTTTCTTGCTAGACCTTTTAACAGATGCTTTCATATCTCTATTGGCAACAAATATCTGTAAAGGAATTCAGAAAGATAGGTACCGAAAGCTATTAACAAAGATATCGAGTCATTTCCTCACCATGAGAAGATTGAGAAGACCTTCATTCTTATCAACAAAAGAGAAATCCCCATGAATAAAGGCATCAGCAAGGCCTAGATCAGCTTGAGTTGCAACCTGCAAGAGATTATATATGTCACAGAATTTTTCTAGATTGAGAAACCTTTTTTAAGTTTTATCGATTGATAACTTGTAGGGGACGACATAAGAAAATTTAAATTTACCTTCCAGTAAAACTTTGTACTATGGATTCTAAGCAAAACTTTGAGACAGCATTTCCTATCTGTTCCTTGGAAAGTGAAAATTGTACCTCCTTCTTCCAACAAGCTGTATATCGAAAGAAAAAACTTAGAAATATCCGAGTAATATTCACATGAATAATTAAGACCATTCTGAAGCTATGTATAATTGAAGGAATCATAGTAAATTGCGATTCACTCGTGATTTGTTCTGCGACATGGTTTTCAACTTGCTATTTCTACCAGTCAAATAGCAAAGATCATAACTGTAGTAAATGAACAAGTTGTTGGTTTGTATCTGCCACTATTTGGATTCAATCAATGCAATGTGAAACTATCATCACTCACATTATGCATCCAGTTTCAATGAAACTTTTGAGGAATCTAGTAACGACGAGGCGTGCTCCTGTTTCAGTCCAGGTTGGTACCATGTGCTTGGGATTGTCCAGAATACGACAATTTCTTCTAAGCATGCCATCTGCAGCAACCATACCCGCCTACGGATGACCAAAAGGTAGACAATCATCTAAATGAGACTAAAGGGACAACAAAATGTTTTCAGTCATACTTCAAGTTAAAATCTGTTGAGCTTTTATTAGAAGTAGTACTACCTTTAGTCCATCCTCATGGAAACCGTACCCTGAAAGTATTGCAATAAACATATATCAATAAGCAGTAAACAAAAAGAGGAATATAAAGTCTGTGTGAAGCAAAGACGTAAGTCAGAACAACTCAAGCTACAAGTGTTACCAGTAACGTATGTGGAAAAAATGGCATGAATAAACTTAGACACTAGGTTGTTGGCATGAATAAACCTAGAAACTAGGTTGTTGTGCTCATTCACTGGCATCGAGCAGAAATGGAAGGGAAAAAAAGTCAAATTATGCAGGTTACAAAGGAAAATCTGCAGGTTACAAAGGAAAATCTATCTTGAAGAAACTCTCTGTAAAAAGAGATTCATACCTTGATATGTTCCACAAAACCATATTCCTCTCTTCCCTTGGATTTGATGTAGCTCATTCGAAGCTTTTGACGCAGCAACTGAAGGGACTAGGTGGCCTGTTGTCCATTTAAGCAACGTATGATCTGGTTCTTGAGGAGGATCGAGGGTTACGAGATAAGGCTGGTTCGAGTCACCAAGATTCTGTAAGTTTAGACAGCTCATAAATTAAGAGAGAAGTTACAAGAGGAAAGACTGCCCACTAAAGAACATCTTCTTCTGATAGGCTCCTAAATAATTGAATTGAGTAAAACACCTGCATTATATTGAGCGAATATGTGACACATGATCTATCATTCATGGTTCCAAGAAAGTTACAAGCACTCCATGCTTCCGGATTGTGAGGCAGGAATGTTTTGTCACGATGAAGAAAAATATCACTGTCATAGAGGAAGAGAAATGAATTTTGCAATTTCACTACGGTTCAGTCCACCAAGGCACTTCTTTCAAACCATGCAGAAGGAGAAGTAAAATGAAAGAAATTCAAGCCAAGGTGATCAAATAAAGGAGAGCGAAGTACCTATAGATATAATGGAAAGCACCTAGTATTCTTGTTTCATCATATGTTGCCTCTTCGCCTAACATTTTCAGAGTATCTGGAGCATGTGTAGTGATTATGCATCCATCATATACTTCTGTGGCACCATCAGTGCAAGCTATGGTACAACCTGCAAGGGGTTTTTCTTTTACACTTTAGAATCACGAGTAGCTCGTAGCTATGTGATGGTAACACAATATTGATTGAAGCCTTTTCTTTCGGTATCAAACACCAAATTAACTCTACCTAGACCACTGCCACTTGAAAAAATATCATAAGTTGAAGTATAAACTAAGAAGCACATGTTCTTATACAAATTAATAGGCTAGAAGCAAATATAACCTAGTCAACCTAACGGTTTGATCTTCAGTCAGATCAACTATTATCTTTTTATTACAATGGATATATCCCTTTCTACTATTATTATATAATTTACGAGCCATGACGCATAACAAACACTCAAAATTGGCCCAAGCTGACAAATAAGCACTCCAACTTTGAGTATACACATCTAGACACCTCAACTCGTCTCTACTGTGTTAGTTGAATATTTCAACTTACAAAATAATCATCTTGTCACCTATAAAATTTATGTGTCATATCAGTGTCGGGTGTCCACGAGACACTGTAGAGACGAAGGGGAAGGTTTAGTTGTCTGTTGAGACCAAGTTGATTTGTTTAGATGTGCATACTCAAAGTTGGAGTGGTTACTTGTCAGCTGAGACCAAGTTTGAGTGCATGTTTATGTATTATGTGAAGAAACACTACAAAAAACTCTTGCAAGATACCACATATAAACCAAGTTACACCTTCTTCATTTGTCGATACAGAATTTACTTCACAACCAGTTCTTATTTGGCAACCTCTCTTCTCCAGCTCTTCCTTAACCTGCACCAAATCAGTACTCTAAAAAATGATACATGCTTAACAAATCATACAAGAAAGTGAAAATTGGCATATTGCCTGAAGTTCTCCTCAGGGAAACAATAAAAACATTGTGGTATCCATGAATGAAAAATCACCTTATTTACATATGTCTGTGATCGCCATCTTACAGTTAGCAATTGAGGGAGATCAAAGATCTGCAAAGAAAGAAACAAAAGCATCCTTAGGCACAAGGAAATGATATATATAATCATTGAAATTCAGTCTCTTGTATGCAACAGACGAAGTACGGTAATTGAACAGCGGATAAGAGGGAAATACCTGCAGAAGATGGTGGTCGCGGAAGAATAAAAGAATGTAGTAAGAAGAAAAGCTCAATACTCCTGCTAAGGGACAGGACCAGATTGAAGCACATATTGGAATCTGTCAAACATGAGTGAATTTCTTATAGCAAGAACACTTTATTGAAAGAACAAAAAGGCCAATACAAGTATGGACATCAAATAAATAAATACGAAAAACAGCAGTGTCACCAGATAAGCCTTCTGAAATAACTCTGAATAGCCATGTGACTTAATAAATTGCCCTAACGTTTCATTGCAATCAATGTCGGGATTATTGTCAACTTCTTCAAGGTAACTGCAGTGTAGTTAGAAACATATTCGTGATGAAATAAACTTCAGTAGCTCAAAACACCTAGACTATTCTAGAAATTGAACTTGTAATTTTGATTGTTACATTTTCTATTTCTAATGTGTTCTATAGAATGTACATATATCGTTTGAATGAGTCTACACTAATTAACATGGGACATACTTGCTCAAAACTAGTAAAGTAAAAAAGGTGAAATAATTGAGTGACCTTCTGAGTGCGTGCTACAGACATAATTAAGTGATTTTTCTACTACAAACAAAAGAAACATGAATTTACTTGATTGTTTGGAATAGTTGACTGATTATTTGAGTAATGAACTCATTCATGGAATTGATTACTAATAAGAAGTGACATATATAATGATAAGTTATCAGTACCTTATGACATCCTGTTTGAATCTGATGATTTCTCTAATCATTTGCAAAAAATATGGATTCAAGAGATTCTTCTTCTGTGCAAACAAACTAGAGAATCCCTTTCGAGTACCCCATTCGCAACCATGGCCATGGTCTAAGCTCACTGATAATGACATATGATAGGTCTCCATATCAACTCCAAGGCACTCAAAAAATTCCATCATGTATGGATAAGTTACCTGTCAAATACAACATCCAGAAGATGGGGGGTTAAAAAAGCTCTAGCTACAAACATTTTCAATGTAATGAGTTGATTTCACTCAACTAATAGTTATTTATCTCATAAAGTCACATGGCTATGCCTTTCTTTCATCCTTTTCTGCCTTGGCCTATGGCAATTGGTCTTACTAAGATGAGATGCATTTCGTTTTCCTTTTGTTAGTTATCAGTCGGGGCTTTAAGAAGAAAATTGAGTTTATTGTTGGGGTTCGGGTCTTTCTCCTTTCCTATGTGAAAAGATAGAAGTATTACTTGGACCACCCCACTTGTTTAGGTCTTATTTCACACAAACAAGAGAGAAAAATCAAGAGAGAGCCGTTTCGAAGATTGAGAGAATTAGAGAAAACTTTGTTGCTTCAAGAAATTTCTGCTCAGGCAGTCCGCTTTACACAGAGTTTGTCGCTTCATTAACCATAAGATTGTTCTCAAATTTGAATTGGAAGTTCTCATGGACCTGATTCTTGCATTTCAATGGTGAAGATAGGATTTGGTTGTCTGTAGCTTCTGATTTGAGGAGTGAGCAGTAGCTCAAGTTTGCGTGAATTCTCTCCTTAGATCTCTAATTTTGGTGCAATCTTGTTTTGTTATTGCTTGTTGATTTACACTTGTTTTGTGGCCAACTTTGGAGGACAATATTGTAATTCTTGGTGATTATAATAGAGCTTTCAGTCTCGTGATTTTTACTCTTTACATTGAAGGCTTTTTTTTCCACGTAAATCTTCCTGTTTTATATGATTGGTTTATTCGTCACTTGTTGTTTTTGTTTGGTTGATACATTTGATGTTCATTCTTTGCAGTGTGTGATTTAGTTTCTCTTGTCTTGGTTTCAAATTGAAAGAAAAAGTTTAGATTTGGATATTATTCTATGGCTATCATGTCGAACATTTTTTGTTAATGTCTTGCCTATTCCAATAAGTAGTATCAGAGCATTGGTTTTTGTTTATTATCGATTTGAATAATGAAGGCAAATATGAGAAAGATATTTGTTTGAATGACAGTAACTATATACTTGGAAAGACAAGATAGAAGATCTTCTATTTGTCAAGAAAATGCATTAACCATTATTTGGTTCTGATAAACCTCAATCCATGACGACTAAAGAATGAAAATTTGAGAACTTACAAGTTTGTGCCTATATCAAACAACGGGTTTAAGATCATTCTACAAATCACATTGTAAATGAGACACATAACACAAGTTTGTGGGACAAACTCGAGACACTTTATGTTTTGAAGACTGACAACAATAAGTTATTTCTTTTGAAATAATTGATGAAAATCAAGTATAAATAGGTCACTCATATTTTTGATAATATTTTTATTTTTAGGGTATTCTGACCAGCTATTCGAAATTAATGTAAAGTTTGATGAAGAGATATAGAGACTTCGGCTTCTTAATACTCAATTAAACTCTTGGGAAGTTCTTTGACTAATTCTTCTCTTAGTGGTGTTGTAACTATAGTATATGCTAAGAGTGACGTCTTGAATGAAGAGATGAGAAGAATATCACAAGCCTCATCTTCTTCGACTTCACACTCCGATGTATTGATTACTATAGATAGGGGAGAAACAAGTTCTGAGATCAAAATGATAGAGGTAAATTTAGAAGCAAGTCGAAGTCCAAATACAAGAATACTATATGTAACTATTGTCACGAGAATGGACATATCATGAAATATTGTTACAAGCGAAAGAGAGACATGAGACAACAAAAGAAAGAAGACGATAATGAAAATAGTGTTGTTGTTGTTGCTAATGATGATCTTCTTGTTTCTTGTGATGAAAATGTCGTTAATCTTGTTTTTGATGAGTCTAGCTGATTCATGTATTCAGGTGCTACTCCTCATGTCATGCCTAAGAAGAAATTATTTTCTTCTTGAACTCCATATAATTTTAGGATGTTGAAAATAGGCAATAATCACGAGGTTGCATTTCTTGGCACTAGGACAGTTTATTTGGAAAGTAACAATGGTTTCAAATTATATCTCAATAATGTCAAGAATGCTCCATATGGTTTCTTGAATTTGATTTCTTTGGAAACCTTGACTATGATGGTTATGTTAATACACTTGGTGTTGGCCAGTGGAAGCTTACTAGAGGTTTGATGGTTATGGCTCATGGTGACGAGTTATCTAACTGATATGTATTTCAGGGCTCCATCTCTAGATACTCGGTAAACTTGATGGAGAATGATACGTCATCAGAATTATGACATAGAATGCCAAGTCATATGAGTGAGAAGGGGAGTGATAGTTTGGCTAAGAAAAACTTTATTTCTGGAGTGAAACAAGCAAATTTGAAAAAATGTTTACCAGCTAAGCGATGAGCACACTCCAAATTTTCTTGTTTCACTCCAGAAAACAGATTATTGTTAGTCAAACTATCATCTCCAGAAAGTTTACTGAGCTTGTAAACATAGAGGCCTAAAAATGCATACAAGTTAGACAACTTTTCGCCACTAGCCACAATCATCGAACCTCTCACAAGATACTAGTCAACACCAAGAATATTAACATAACCCTTATCATCAAGGTATCACACATAAATTAAATTCAAGCAAACATCTAGAGCATGCTTGAAATTATTGAGAACTAGTTTGGAACCATAGTTACTTTCCAAATAAACTGTCCCAATGGCAAGAACTACAACCTATGATTATTACCTATTTTTAGCATCCCATAATTGCCTAGAGTATAAGAAAGAAAATAATTATTTGGTGTTACATGCGGAGTAGCAACAAAACCCACAAACAAGATAGACTCATCACAAACAAAATTAACAACATTTTCATCATAAGAAACAAGAAGATCATCATTAGAAACAACATCAACGCGATTTTCATTGTCGCCTTGTTTCTTTTGTTGTCTCATGTCTCTCTAGTGCTTATAACAATATTTTATGATATTCTCATTCTTGTGACAATAGTTACATGTAGTATTCTTGTATATACACTTCGACTTACTTCTAATTTTACCTTTATCATTCTGATCTCTAAACTTGTTTCTCTCCTATCTTTAGTATTAGAAATATCAGAGTGTGAAACTGAAGAAGATGAGTCATGATATCTTCTTCTCATCTCTTTATTCAAAACACCGTTGTTAGCATATTCCATAGTTATAACACCACGAGGAGCAAAATTAGTCAAAGAAACTCAAAGAGATTAAGAAGAAGTTGAAGTCATAGTATCTATTCATCAAACTTTACATTCATTCTTGATAGATGGTAAAGAGCACCCTGAAAAATCACCAATATAATCAGAAATAGGAGTGCCCCCACAAATTTCTAGCATTTCTTTCATTCACAATGTGATTTCTAACATTTTTTTCAACCTATTATCTGATATAACCATGAATCTGCAAGTGCTCAAAGTATCATTTATCATTCTTCATGGACTGAGGTTTATTAGAAGCAAACATAGGTAAATGTATTTTGTTGACAAATAGAAGATCTTTCATCTTTTATTTCCATGTATAATAGTTACTACCATTCAAACAAATATTTGCTCATATTTTCCATCATAATTTAAATTGATAATCAGCAATAACCAATGCGATGATACTACTTTGTTGAGAAACACTAACAAAAAATGTTTGACATCATAGCAGCGAAATATTATCCAAGTCTAAATTTTCCCTTTCAATTTGAACCAAAAAAAAGAGAAACTAAACCAAGCACTACGAAGAATGGATAGGAAGTGTATCAATTAAACAAAATCAATAAAATAAAAATAAATCAATCGCACAACACATAAAGTTACGTGAAAAATCCTTCAATTTGAAGAGTAAAATATCATGGGACCAAAAAATTCACTATAATCATCAAAATCTACAAAACTATTCTCCAAAATTGGCCACAGAACATGTGTCAAGTAACGATCAAAAAACGAAAAAAAGATTATGCCAAAACAAGAGAATGAAAAGAAACATTTCATCCAAAAATGAGTTATTGTTCATACCTCCAAATCAAAATCTAGAGGCTATTAAGTCCGATCTCCACCATTGAAATGCAAGAACCAAATTCGATGAACTCTCAGTACAAATTTAAGCACGATCCAACGGTAAATGAAGTGATGAACTAAAATACTCTCTCGACTTGTGTGTCCGAAAAGAAGACCTAAACAAGTCTTATATATACCGCATAATATTGGATTTATGTGCAAAAGTGGACTGATTCAAATAATTCTTTTTATTTATCCACGTAAAAAGGAAAAATGAAGTTTGTAAGTTGTGAATTGTGAATTATAAAAAGGATGTCTTATTATATTTTTAATAAATTATTTATTCATATTAAATGAAGTTTTAAACACAAATATAGAGCTACAGTTATTAGTAAATTTTGCCTAACTGTTAATAGGTTTGTAGATTCCCTATAGGATCTTAATATTAGTCGTTCTCTTAAATGATACCAACTTCAGCTTATTGATGACAAAATTTGAAAGTTTTAAGTATTGGCATTGAAATCAAAGTACTTCTCTCTCACTGTCATAAACACATGTTATTCTATGAACTTCGATGAGAAAATTGAATAATACATCAATTTGTTTGTGATATTTTTCCTTTTAGTTAGTCTATTAAAAAGGATAACAAACTTGACTATACAAAATTAATACCTAAATAACCACTACATAACAATATTTACACTTTTCACCAACATAGCATGACATTTTTTTTACAGAACACATTCAAATAGTTTTTTAAAAAGGAAAATAGATAGACATGACAATCCACTATTTATTATTAGACATTATTTTAATTCCTTAATTTTTTTCTCCCTCCTTCCACAAATATCTCAAATATAGTTAATGCTTCTCTTTCATATATAACTCAAAAAGAAGGTTTAGTAATCAAAATCAAACTCTCTACCTCTTCTATTTTGAAAGTGTGTTCAATGGCAAATATGAGCATTCTATTAATTTTGATTTATCACGATGGAAGATGGAATATAACAAGTATTCACCATAATAGTTGCTTAGATTAAAGAAAAGGATCAACACTGTCTCTTATCCTTGCCTTAAACACTCAAAATGATCCTTATCATTTCATATGAAGCACTAATAGTATAAAAATGGTGCAGTTTTAGTCTTTGTAACATTTTCCGTCAATCTACTACGTGTAGCTCCTTTTGTCCATTCATTAAGCAACAATGACGGATAATTATTAAGGTCACCAAATGAATTAATTTTGAGTGGTAGGATCCATTGTATTCACAATTAATATCACCCTCAGATATAGATTTACTAAAGAAAAAAAAAATACTTAGTTTCTCACTTGAGAATATTTATAATGGAGTTCAACTATGTTAGAATCGCACCGCGTACGGCTTCATTTGGTTCGTATAGCCCGAGCTCAAATCTAAACCTTTAGTTAAGAGAGAACCATTATCCACATCCTTTAATTGTATAAATATACTAAATCCTTTGTCTAGAATTACAGAAGCAGGCTTTCTAGTCTAAAACAAGAGCTTGTTAGTATCAATTAAGCATAAAATTATAATTTAATAATTATTATTGGGTGATGATTACTCGTTAAGAAAATTCATACATAGTTATAATATTATCTATTATTGGGTGATGATTACTCGTTAAGAAAATTCATACATCA